CATGATAATAGCAAATGCCACAACATGGTGAATGATAGCAACATCGTGGTGTCTTCTCAGAATGTCTTAAAGAGCCAAAATAATGCATCTATACATCTTATTGGCTTAGGATCATTCCCAACCTTTTATTTTTGTAAAATTTCTTCAAAAATATTCTCTTCATCAAGTGGTAACACCACACTTATTCAAAAACATGGTCTTCAATTGTAATCTTCCAAAAATCACACAACTTCTTTGTTAATTAAGCTTCTTCACTGCTTCACTTTCGTCCAATATTACACAATAAGATCAAGAGACTAGAGAAACACTTGATCATTTGGTAAAATTAAAATAAAAATTAAAAACTAAAAACACATCAAAAGGAAAAGAAAATGCAAACTCTTAAACATCGAGTTGCCTCTCGAAAAGCACTTCTTTTTTAGGATTCGTGAGCCGGACCCCTTCTCACTCTATGTTGTTGTGGTTAGGAGTGGGATCTCCCTTTTCTCCTTTTGTTCTTTCCAATTAATCTTTTATGCTTGAACCAGTCTTATATGTTCCTTCTTTGAGTTTTCTTTCTTCTTTGGATTAGCACTTTCTTCATGTTTACACTTCACCCTTTTGCCTTGATTTCTCACCTTTGTACTATTCTTCTCATCTAGCTCTATATTAACCATTGTTGGATCCTCTAGCTCCACACCCATATCTTCATCAATTATCTCATCTACTTCACTAGAATCAACTTCTTTTTCATCACTTACCTCTTCCACTTGATCCTTGAGTGTAGTGAACATGATCACCTCAAATGTCATAAGAATTAAGGCTCCTAGTTTAGAACATTTGACATTTGCAACATGAGGTATCTCAAAAACTTTAACTCTTTTTACATCATCTTTTCCATCTCTTCTAGCTCACTAAGGTTTTCTTCTACCAAATTATTCATTCTTGACACTTCATCTCTAGGCATGTCGTAACTCACTTTTTGACTCATTTCAAAAGTGATTTCTTCATCTTCTACATGCATTGTGAGATTTGAGTCATGGATGTCAACAAGTGCTCTAGCGGTACTCAAGAATGGTATTCTTAAAATTATAGGAACGTCCACCACAAAATCAACCGAAAAAATAAATTTCCTCACTTTCACCAACAAATCTGCAATGATTCCACGTGGGTTAGTGATCGAGCGATTCACCATTCTAAGTGTCATCTTCATGTCTTGGAGCCTTGGTAGACCAAGATTCTTGTACAAAGAATATGGCATAATATTGATGCTTGCCCCCAAATTAGCTAAAAGTATTTATAGAAGTAGAATTATCAAATTCACAAGGCAAAGTTAATTGGATCGGGTCTCCCATTTTGATTGGCAACTCATTGATGATTGCAACTGAACATAACTCATTAAGCACCATGGTTAATGCTTTTTCCAACTCCTTTCAATTAGTTATCACATCCTTGGAAATCTTAGGAAGCTTGGCCATGGATTGGAGGAACTGAGCATTTATCGAAAGTGATAGCACTTGTTCCATGAACTTCTTCTATTTCGGATCCAGATTATGCTGAACGGCTTGAGATGGGAATGGAAAAGGAGGCTGATACGAATTGAAAAGAGAAAATTTTTTATTTGCCAATGACCACGAAGTGGTAAGATTACCACGACATGGTGAATCATCAGAATGCGACTCACAATATGCTTTTTTAGATTCAGGCTTCTCCTCCTACAAATATGAATTGGGCTAATAGTAGCTATTTCATGAATAATAAATGGCTTAGAATGAACTTCTTCTTCAGTGAAAATTGCAATTACATGAGGTTTTGATTTTGGGTTGGGATTTCTTGGTGGTAACCTCTCATTAACAAGTGTTGTTAGTTGCCCAAGTTGAGTCTCTATGTTTTTTTTTATGGAAGCTTGATGATTTATCACATTAGCATCAGTAGTATCATGTCTTTTTTCAGAGGCTTCCATAAACCTATGAAGTACAAACTCAAAATCCATCTTCTTCTCGGGTGATGGTTGCTCTTTTTGGTAAAAATATCAACCGGGTTGTCTAAATTTTTCATCCTTTTGCTTCCCGTACTCTTTATAAGGCAACCACTCATTTTTTGGCTTTTTCCAATCTTCATCAAATAGATCACCACTCGAGTAGCAAACTTGTGCTTTTTGGGTACCATTCTCATCTAAATCACAATCCTTCGTTAGATGTGGCCCGCTACAATTTTCGCACCCAACTCTTATTGCATGGATATATTGATCCATTTTCATCATCCTCCGATCCATATTCTCTAATTTTGCTAAAACCATGGTTATGTTCTCGTTCCCTTCATGTATTTTACCTCTATTAACATCCTCTCATGGGTTATGATACTCATGTGAGTGTTTTGCAAATTCTTCAATCGATTCTTTAATGGTGATCGGTTCTTTCTTTGGCATTGGTCCTTGAGAGTCAAGAAGTTTCCTTGTTGTGACATTCATCCCATCATAGAAAATGGACATTGAGATCATGTTGAGGACAACTCCTAAGCAAGCCCTTGTATCTTTCCTGTGCTTCATATAAAGACTCTCCGACTTCTTGATGAAAATTAGCAACCTTTTTCTTGAGCTTTAAGATCTTTGAAGATGGACGAAATTGCTTAATGAAAGCGTCAAGAAGATTTGCCCAAGTAGTAATGGATCTGAGTATGAGTGACTTCAACCAAACTTTTTCTTCACTGGTAAATGTCACCAGAAGCATCCTTAGTAACATTGACTCTGATGGCATGTTTGGAACATTGAAGTAATTTGCAATGTCCTTTACTTCATCGATGTGCTTGAATGTGTCTTCGTACTCTTTTCCGAAAAAAATGTATGTCCTTGAGCATTGATAGAATATTCCCCTTGAGCTTAAAACTTTTTTCAGCTAGAATCTCAGGTGGTAAAAGACCTGGTCCGTTGTCTTCACATATCCTCTTCTTGTAATATCTATAGTCATTCTCGTGATATCTATCATTTCTTCAACCTTGCTTTTTATCTCTTCTTCATCCGTATCACTTTTTGTTCCTACCTCGTAACCAATGCCCTTCTTGTCAAGTGTCCTATCGAAACTTTTAAATCCCTTATCCGACTAAAAGCTACTAGTTGACTCGTTGACCTTCTTGTCCTTCTGTTTATGAAGAGTTTATTTTGGATCTTGAAATGGTGGAACTATTAGAGTTTTAGATCCCCGGGTCATAAATCACTAAAATAAAAACAAAACAAAACAAAAATGCATAAAAGGAATAATAATTACTAAACTAAAAATTTACCGAGACATAACCGCGACGTGGCAAAGATAACCACGATGTGGTTGATTCTCAGAAGAAGGAAAAAAAAACTAATGCAGAAAAATAACTTTTTGCGATTTTTTCCTTGTAAAAAGGATCGTATAACTAAAAGCTCTTAAAACTATAAATCAAATAAGTTGTTCCCTGGAAATGGCATAACTTGATGTTCACAAACGTACCTACTTGTTTTAAACTTAACTAACTATGCACTTATAGGCAGCGTATCTAGTTGGATTATAAAACAGATTGGGTAAGTCAGGTGTTGAACACAGGGAACGAAATTCAATTAATTAATCTAACTACTTCTAATGAAGCTAAGAAACAAACTTTGATTGGGGTTTTTACTAATTTTGCAAGATCAGAAAAACTTAAATCAAACTAATATCAACTAACAAGCAGAGAAAAAAATTGACTTCAAGAATTAAAGAGTACTTCTGCTTAGATCCAATTTTCCCTTCTCTTATGGTTGATTTCTATTGGATTGAATATATTGATTACTAATTCATTAATTAGCTATTATAATCAAATATCTAGACTTACCAATTTTTGAATTACCATACAATGATCATGCACAAGTTAAACACCAAATTGATAACCAGCACAAACTAGACTATGATTGATAGTAGTTACTTTCCTATGATCAAGTTATGAAACCAATCACAAATTAAGATTAGTTATGCTCACTAACTCAATTAAAGTTACTAGCTTTAATTACTTTATCTAAGATGTGATTAATCCTAGATCTAATTATTTAATGATCATAAACAATTAGGTAACAAATTCATGTAATTAGAATGATCAACTATCACACAGAGTCTAATTTATAAGCAATAGAAACTAGAACTAAAACATGCTAGAGTTTAAATATCAAACACAAGTATAATCAATATATAGCATCCAATAATCGAAATCAACACAATAGCATCCATTAATCCAATGCATACCATCAAGGATATGAGTGTGAGCCTTATCCATTCTTTCCTCATCATTCATATCTCCTAAGGTAGGAATCTAAGAAAATTTGGTATTAGTAAATGGATGAAGGAAGTTCGGCAATGAGACGCGACCAACACCAAGACCAAAAGAGATGTTGGCATAAGGGTTGTAGTACTACATGTAAATAGATTGAAGTTACCACTCTAAAAAAAGATGGGGAATAAAGTAGGGAAATGATACTTACTTGTACTTGGAGGAGGAAGAAGTCCAGTAAGAGAAGAATCAAGAGCTGGACAATAGAATCAAACTTCATTGTATCAACATTAGGAATCAAAGAATCCAAGTTGATAACGTTGGCAGGATCGGGCATAGGCTCGGTAGAGGAAAGAGTAATGAAAAGAGCACCAATAATGGTGACAGGATCAGACATACGATATGTATAGGAAGGAGTAACGACAAGAGCTCCGGTAATGAGGGTATGATCGGACATAGGCTAGGTAGAGGAAGGAGTAACGGTAAGAGCGCTGGTGGAAATCATAGGAACATAAGTTGGTATATGATGTGGAGAAGCAATAGAACTGAACAACTTCTGGCGAAATAGGCGTTGGTCAAGTTCAATCCTACAAATTAAGCCTTGGAAGCCGAACCACTGGGGAGAGGCTTAGAGGTAGTAACGAAGGAGTCTGAATGAAATGTAGTTAACTCAATTATAGCTTCGAAGGATGGAGTCGGAACCTTAGTAGAAGATAAAATGGCGTCCACTACGGAAATCGTTGCAGGGTCGAAAGTTACTGAGTAGTTTTCAAGAGCTTCACCAGATAAAGAAAGTTCGATGGTGGAAGGCCAAGTACAAGGTCTACAACCCCCTGGCCCTGATCGGGAGAAGAGCGTGAAGTGCGCATTTTATTAGGGGAAGATCCAGGTAAAACGACACCAATGGATGAAGAGTATGAAGGTCTCACCTTACGCTTGGGAGGTTTGGTAAAAGTAGCACTAGAAGCTCTTTCTAACGAGGGGTACGTAGGAACTGGTGGAGGTTTTCCATGAAGATTTTCAGAAGATAACAGTGCGGTACCAGTAGATATTAATAGACTATCATGGATAGTCGAATCCCACCTCTCCCCAGACTCACCCATAACATCTACATCATAAGGAGAATCAGACTTAGTGGCGGATGAGCTCCCCCTTTTTACAGTCTTGGACCGGTGTTTCCAGCGAAGGCGCTCCAACAGAGTAAGATTATCGCCCCTTAAAGTGGGGACTGTGGTTGCAACAGAAGACCCATAATTACTACCTAGGTTAGCCAAGCCTATAATTGATTCCCCAGGGTCTGACCAAAAAATTTAATTGGTTATGAGCCTCTTGACGACGTCGTGCTCAACATTAATTAGTTTAGGAACTGAGTTTGGATCCCAATTCACCACGTTCCCAAACTGTGCACGACCAGCTATGGCTGAAGCATAAACAAAGAAGAACTCTTCTTTCCACTTTGTGATGAAAGAAGGAAGACCGTTGCATATGCTAATCCCTCCACAACGGAGGGAGAAATAGACCCAATCCTTGGTAAATATGGGAACATATAGGTATCGAAAGAAGGAAAGAGAAGGAGGAATATCTAAGGCTCTGCATAGTAACATGAAACACATGATCTTCAGGAAGTCGGTAGTGGTTATCTGGGCAATATGGACCTTGTAGTAATCAAGGATGATCCCAAATAAGGGAATAGATAGAAGTTGCAAGCCTGATTTGAAGAAGATAGAATACACTCCCACACAACCTAGTCGGGGGTTGGTGATGGTTTGATTTAGAGAGTGAAGTTGAGGGCAGAATCGAGGATCTATGTGAAAGGATTTGACCAACTCATTCAATTGATTCTTAGTAAGAACTGAGAAGGCATTGTGAATTCGTAAGTTGTTCTTAGCCATGATGAAGAAATTAGGGCTTGAAGATCTCTACAATGGAAAGCAAAGAAAGAAAGAAGGAACAAAGAAGAATGAGCAGGTGAAAGGGAAGAAATTTTATTGTCCCTAATCTTATAGGAAGTAGTGGGTAATTTGAGGTGAATGTTGTGGCATTACATAGGAATGATTAGTGAAAGAAATGGGTAACTGTCTAATCAAATATCTACGGCCTAATTAGGACTTATCCGTTTCTCGAGAAAGTCTCAGTCATACAAGGCTAGTTCGAATTGCCACTCACCAATTCTAACTAGGGTGACTTAGTGAGGTATGTACCTGGTTATTGACATATGTATCTCCAAGCTACACTCGGGGAACAGAGGCATGGCTTACCGAGGTATGATTTGTCGAGGCATGTACCACCGAACCATGTTTGGAGGACAGATACATGATTTTCTAAGCTATACCTACCAAGCCTACCGAACCAAGAAAAGGAAGTAAGGTTAAGAGAACAAGCATTATGTATAAGCAACGAGTATACAACTAAAAATCCTGACAAAGTTCATGTCGTATAGTACTTAAGGCCACTAATTGTTCTCCAAATAACAAACTGACATGATTGGTGACTCCTCTTTAGTACCATTCTTGTACGTTTGGTAATGGGAGCATTTATGAGGATTAGACCCTCGTCTGCACAGTACATTTCAGATCCCTTATTCTCGAGATGAGCCGATATAAACAAAGCCTCAGTAGGTCGGTACAGGTATGAAAAAGGCACTCGACCTTACATTTATACTAAACACTAGTCAATCGTTCTTTGCCTGAATTTATCATTGGAGCGTTCTCTCGGGAGCATTCCATGTGAATGACTCACTTGTGTATTGTCATCTCAGGAATCATACCTTCTGCATGACCAGCATTACGGGATCATCAAGGACCAAAATTTGGATACTCATCATCTACCATAACAAAACATTTCCCTATAGATAATGTTTCCTATGAAAAATATTGTCATCATAATTATGCTCCCACTAGCTTTGACATGTACCTAGAAATCAACTAGACTTCTAGAAATCAATACCTATTGAATTTCTTACGGAAGCATAGATTTCAGTTATGCAATGCTTCGTTAAGTCTCTAACTAGAATTTTCAAGCTTATATACCTTAGTTGGATAGTATGTGTGTTCAAACCTTTCAAGATGTAATAAACATATCTCTCAGAAGCTTAAACAATTTCTTTCCATTCCTCACAATTTCTAATATATAGAGGGATGTCGTAATCATATTTTTTATAAGAGAATGCAATTAACATAACCATTATCTATATTGATCCTTATCAGATATTTAAAATCTATCAGCGAACGTATTTCCTCATAATCATTCTCATGAATTAGAGTGAAACCTTTTGCCACTTAGAATTTGATGAGTAACGTTCCCATCCATGTAGATCTTTCATTTTCAACCTACAATCATAATACTAGGTTTAGGAAAAACCAACTTCAAACTTATTTTTCCCTCGCGGAATCAACTTCATAATTCTTAATCTCTTTTTTCCGACAACTTAAAGGCCTACCAGTGCTTCGGTGTTATTAGCAGCTCACCCATATTGATTAGTATACCTTCACCGACCACCGTGCTTTATTTTTGCAGTTAAATGAAAAACATAAAGCTTATCAGCATTGCCAACTTAATTGGAAGTGTACAAAACTAAGAATGTGTTAGTTAAAATACAATAGGATTTCAACCTCAAGTCGCATGCTAGTGATAACTAAAAGGATTATTGTCAGTTGATTCTTGCAATTCTCAACATCAATATGAATCCCACTTAGTTTATCTTTTGTTTCTTAATCAACAAAAACATCAAAATTCTAGTTCCTAAAGTGCTTGAGTGAAGAAAGCATTCTTACTCCACATCCCATGATGTGATACTGACTTTTTTAGTTTGGAATGAGTTTCAAGATACGATTTATAGTAACTAGATCAGAGCTCTAAAACTTGATTGGAACAAAGCATGACTCATCTATGATCGAACCATTTCCAACAATGTCTGATTCTTCTTCTTAGCCATATAATTGCACTAAGCGATTCTCGGAGGAGTCATTTGTGAATTACTAAGATGATTAAAAACATGATACTAAAGTACTCCCCTTACCTTTCAGATTGGAGAAACTTCATCTTTCTGCCTATTTGATTCTTCTATGTTGGTTTGCTGCTCTTTGAACCTTTTCAAAAGTATCAAAATTTTGATTAATCTTATAAACACAATCATATTTACTGAAAGATCAGTAAATCATGACGAATAGAGTTATCATCCCTTGTGGTGGATCTGAAGAGTCCATATCAACACATACTAGATTCATTAATCGTTCACTTGTCTGACATAAACATGTGAAGAATGATTTAGTCATAAATTTCCAATAAACAAGATTCCCATGCATCATGTAAATCAAATTGTATGACTCCAAGTTTTGTCAGCACCACAAGCACGATATCATAAGAATCAAATCCACAATTCGAATTCACTTGGTCAAATCTGACAGTACCACATGTGCGATATCATAATAATCAAATCCACAATTAATATTGCTATTGTTAGAAACATAATCAATACACTCATTAATACCATTGCAAGGAAATATAAAATAAGACAACTATATAAACTAAACCTTCACTGTTATTGATATAAAATGAAAATTGGAACTTGTCCTTACAATGCATAAAATGAAAAACTATGTATCTAGATACTTCCAAAGAGTAATAGAAAAAAAAAAATTAAAACTATCCCAACTACGAGTGGTAGCTCAAAATTCTGACCATCAAACCATGCGACAAAAGTCCATTTCCTACGATTAGATTTATCTCACCTTGCTCAAGCTTCCTTCTTTTTTTAGATCCGACAATACCATAAAAATGTGATCATCACATTATATATTAAGAGTCTACGAATAGGAACTTATTAAAATAATAGAGTTAGATAATGGTTGTACCTGAAGTAGAGTCATATGAATTGACTTTACCATCTTCAAGATCTTTCAGGTATTTTTTAGGAAAATTCGCTTCCAACTTCCCTTCATTTAATAATAGAAACAAATGGACTAATTGGGGTCAACATAAGGAATCATCTCATAACGAGCCTTTCGCTTTACCATACGATCAAACGATTTGACCATGGCCAATCCCTTTCGATTGGGAAGAGAAATCTTTTCTTAATCACCAATGGTACCATTTTCATTGTCCATGGAACTCTTAGGATTAGATCACTTAAGCATTTTTGTTTTAATTGTACTACCAAGAATTTTTTTTCTTCAGCTGTACTCTCAAGCATTACTGCTTCAGCAGTTATCAATATATAGGTCAGATCAGTTAGGTTCACATCAACATTCCTCATATGAAAGTTCTTAACGAACTCACCATATGACTTTGTAAACGACAGAAGAACCAAATCATTTGCTTGCTCCTTCTGGAATATGACATCTATTCTTCCCAACTTGTCAATGTACGATTTCATTCTAAGAACACGCGCACACGCAGAGTCTCTATCTCGATGTTTACATGTTAATAAGGTTTGATTAGTTTCATAGCTTTCAACTTGAGGAAAACATGGCGTTGGGAGAGTCACAGGAAGAGGAGGTGGATGAGTTGAAGGGCGATGATGTCCAATTACACCATTTCCCAAGGAAAGGAAGATAATTTCACTTTGACTTGAATGTGGAAGATCATCTCCAGAATATTGAGGAAAACCATTTCCATAAGAACGAGGAAGACCATTTTTATCTTGATTTAACATCTAAAAATGTGAAAAGAGAGAATTCAATTTAGTTGATTTTAATCCTTAATTATTAACCTAAAGTTTAAAATTAAGGCTAGGATCCATATTTTCATTTCGTAATATGAAGAAGGATGTCGTAGTCATATCATGAAACTATTTTAGGTAGGTAGAAACATCTCACCAATTTCAATCACATGAAACTCCTAGAACTTTTGAGATTTTCATTAAAACATCAATCACATGATTAATATCAGATTATGCTCTTACCAATTGTGAATGGGATGCTAAGGATCACAATTGGGATGTGAATAACCATGTAAACCCGCTCAAACACCCTCAATTGATTTATGATCTCCCATTGATGTGTCAGTTTACTACACACGCTCTATCAATAAGTATAAACTCGACTTGTTTCATCATTTTATCTTTATAGTCCTACATTAGTGTGTCGGTTAACCATGCACGCTCCACTAATGACTCAAAGGAAGCGGTGTGCATTTTTAAGGATTAGCATACAATTTCACATTCTCCTAAAGTAACTACAGTGGGATTTTAAAAGAATGTACTAGTAATTTATAAGATTATACTCTTAATCTTGTTTATGTCCTACCAAAATCGTTCGACTAACGACCCTCCACCACACAAAGAAGCGGTGGTTAAAATGATACTCATTCGGTTGTTATTTTATAGGTCGTTTCCTTATACCTCTCTTAGAGCGTAGCTTCGTGAATTAGGCCTACTACTAAATTGACTGACTTTTAGTTATAGATATGGTATTATTGTCTTATACATATGTGTAGCGTGTATCTTAACTTTTTAAAACACAAGGTTTAAATATTAATTATCTGAATTAAACGTTTAATTAATTAATCTTTAAACCAATTCTCGATTTAATATTTGTCCTTTTATTAATCATTAATTTAATGTATTATTAACATACATAAATGATAATTTAATTTAATTATCTTATAACTAAAAATTCTGATTCCTTATTTATCTTCTCAAAATACAAATTAGGACTTTAATCATGTCTAGCATGATGAAATTCAGATTTTAATAGTTCAAAAATCAAATAATTATTAAAACACATGCTACAGATTAGACAAATAAAATACAGGAAAAACAAAAAACAAAAAGGCATGACACGTCCTTTGAATTTTTTATTATTATTATTATTATTATTATTATTATTATTATTTTGATTCATCTCATGCACAATTAATTGTAAGACCAAAACTCTGCACCGCTGAAGGAATT